CTAGAAAGTATCATTGATTCTTCACTCTCCACTAACTTTCACAGTCTCTCAATTATCAAGTCCTGTCAATACTGTCTTCTTAATTTCCTATAGATCTGTCCTCTACTTTCCATCTGCATTGTAACCACTGCCTCCCTTCAGACTACTGGCAAAGCTCACCTGAAATACTGAATAGCTCATAAATGGTCTCCATTCTTCCAGTCTTGTCCTCCTCACCAATCAATTATATACACAGCTACCATGGTGATCTTTGTCACTTACCTAAAGTCCTCAAAATATTCGTCACTGTCTTCAAATTAAAACCAAAACTTGTTGGCATGGTCTGGAAAGCCTCTCCAGATGTGGTTCTTAGTAAATCGTTGCTAAGCTTCTTGATGAGTTCTCTCCCTCCATTTCTGCTCCCTCCCCATGGAGGCATCCCCACTGAGCTCCAACTACATGATACTTTTGCATTTGCTAGAATCTGCCATTGCTTTCTTTTTTTGTTAAAGTGTATCCTTTTATTTTTAAGTAATCTCTACACCCAAACTCAAGTTTGGGTGGGGCTCAAACTCATGACCCCAGAGATCAGGAGTCACATGCTCTTCCAACTGAGCCAGCTAGGTGCCCCTGACCTTGCTTTCTTATATTAATTATTTGTACCTGTTTATTGCTGCTGCTTTGGCCTCCACCTTACTCATTCACTCATTTTTTTCATCCTTAGTTAGAGGTCAGCTCCTCCAGAGAGCCTTCACTGATTTCCCCAACCCAGAATTAGATGTCTCTATGTGCTCCATAGCAACAGAGCAGCCAGCACTAATTACTAATGTGACCTATCACATTCCTGTGTGGCTACTGGATAGTCTGTTCTCCCCCATGTACTCTCCCTCCTCTCACCAATTAGACCATGAGAAGTTCAAATCATAGTAACTACTAAATAAATATTTGTTAAAAAAGAATTGAATGTGTTCTTTACACTGAGATATTGTTTTATAGCTAAATGATGCTATCAGAATAGATGTGGAATATGCTATCTTTTTCTGCCTCCATAGATAGGTGCCTCGAAGCATCTATGAAGTGGGTAGTTTAACATATATAAAGTTGCTTTTTTTTTTTTAAATTCATTTTTTTTAATGTTTTTATTTATTTTTGAGACAGAGAGAGACAGAGTATGAGCAGGGGAGGGGCAGACAGAGGGGGAGACACAGAATCTGAAGTGGGCTCCAGGCTCTGAGCTGTCAGCACAGAGCCTGACGTGGGGCTCGAACTCATGGAGTGTGAGATCATGACTTGAGCTGAAGTCAGACGCTCAACCGACTGAGCCACCCAGGCGCCCCAAAATTCACTTTCAAATAGCTTTTACAAGGTAAGTAGATATAATCATTGATAGTTTTGAGAATTTTGTCATAAAAATGATATATGTAATATGCACATGCTTTTCAGTTTTAGACAACCCCCCCTCATATTCTATAATTCCAACTATGTTCATTATTCACAAGAAAATTATCAGTAAATTCCTTTTTGTTAATAGAATTAGTCTTCACTCATGGGAATGAATCTTTTCTTTTAATAGTTAAATGTTAGCATAATTAATCAATGTACTAGAAATCAGAGATTTAAGAATTTTTTCCTATTAAAAAAGGGAAGAAACTAGAAGATATTCTCAAATGTATTTTTTAGAAAAAAAGTTTAATCTAGAGAATCAGACTTCTTCTTAATCCTCATTCTTGATACTTTCTAGTCCATCAGCAATAATAGACCAGAAGATTTTTGGTGAGTACTCTTTTGTTAGTGTGGACCAAACTAGTCTATTGCTCTGATCTACACTAGATGTTGATTAGGGGGCTTAAGAACACCAGTGAGTATGGTGCAAAAGTGTAATGTACAGAACCACATTTAAAATTGTTTCTAAAAATCAAATGTCATGTTATGGTAGAATGAAAGCTTTCATACACACACAGAGAAAAAGAGTTTATGAAATGGGATATTAAGAGAGCACAGTGAAAAAAGAAACCAAGATAAAACAGTGAGAGTGGAAAATATATTTTAACAGCAGGAAATGACATGAAAAAAAAAAGAGAATAGAAGTGTAGAAAGACAGGTGGGAGAACTAAAAGTCAAAATTAATGATACAAAATAAAAGTCTGCTTAAAGAAAATGAAAAGAAAATATAAAGAAGAGCAAAAGAATCTTTCAATTACAAGTTTAAGTTTCAGTGCCCAAATATTACTTAATTGTAAGAATGTCAGGATAGTGGTTTTTATATTGCATTATTTTTAAAATTTTCCTAAATTTGGAAGTGTAAGTCTTCACTTTGACAACGTGAAGGCAAACAGAACATCAGTGTATCATTAATGGAGCAGTCTCCAACTGATCTGGCTTCAAACGGTACAGAGTCCCCTGTACCATTTGTATCCTGAACAGCTGGGCTATGGCAGTATTGGCTGAGCAGGTTTTTACTTATTTACTTTTTTTCTCTTTATAGTGCATTTGCTTCCTCCTAAAATGTTATCTGGGCACTTGGAAGCCAAATAATTAAGACTGTAACAATAAAATAAGGGTGCACAGCTTTTCAAAAAGTATAATGTTGTGGCTTTACCCACTAACCTCCAGTTTCTCAGGAGTCTAATACTCAATAGCTAATTTTTTCTTTTTTAGTGCCTCTGAGTCTGTTACTGCTATCAAATATTTTGGACTTATGCCAAATATATAAAGGCAGACTATTATAATAAAAATATTAACGTGGAATATTAAAAAAATAAAATTCATAGAGTAATCTTAATGGAAGATGATAAGTTCCCAAATATAAATCAGATATTTAGTTTCCCCTCCTCCCCACCTGCCACAAACTAACAATGTAGTGATGTAATTTTCCCATTCTGCAAAGTGATTACCAAAGTTCATGCCAAAGAAGCATAAACAAATGCATAATTCTGGGGCTACAGCAAATGTGTAAAAATATTAATATTCTAGGCTTAAAAGCTTTTAATGCATCTCAACACAGATTTGCTGTGATTTTGCTATTTTCAAAATACGTGTTAGAAAGATAAGCCAGAGGCAGGGGAGCAGGCCAGAATCTAGTAAGTACTAAAAGCAAAATACTCACAAGGGGTATGAAGTTTTCAGAGGAAGAAGGCACCATGATTTGCTGGAAGAATCAGGAAATCTAATAGAGGATGTGTCATTTGAGCTGGGTCTGCAAGAGTGTTCAGGATTTTGAAGACTGATACACAGGCTATGACCACTTTATTTCCATCGTGATTCGTCAGGTTTAGGTACTCATCCTATTTTATGTGATATTATCTTTTTTGCTGATTGCGTCTTGCATTTCCAACATTGTGTCTAAACCCTCCACTATGTGGAGAATTAATCATACCAAATTAACGATTGTCTCCTGAATAAACCAAACAGTTGTTTTTAAAATCACTTTGCCTTCCTCTTCCCATTCTCCCAGCTCGCTTCACTGCTTTCCTCCCTTACCTTAAGTAGGTTGCAAACGAGTATAGAAGGTTTGCTTCACTTTCAACGTCTTCCTGGACCCCTCCATGAATAAGTATGTTATCTCACTGAGATTTCCAAATCTCGTTATATGCTGTTTGATTACTGTGTCTCATACTGTATCACTTCATCTATAAGCTTGCTCCTCCAAGCAAAGCATGAGATTCTTGAGGGCACGGGGTGGGGGCGTGGGGGTGGTCTTCTGTGTCTTCAGGCCCAGTGCCTCTCAGGTGGTTAGGTACTGAGCGTCTGTGTGCACCCTAAAGAAATCAGTGCTAGGCGGAAGAACTGTATGCAGACCTAGGGCTTGTACAGGAAGGTTCTCATAAGCAGCAGCTGATACTGAAAAACCAACTCTGGACTCATGGGTTCACTTCTTCCTCTGACTGGGTGGGTCACTACGAGGGGCACTCCAAAGGCAAGGCCACGCAACCTGGAAGCCCACAGCAATACTAGCAGCAGCAACAGTAATGTAAGTGACACTGCTACTAACATAATCCTCCATGCGTTTCCATGTGCTTTCCCAGCCATCATCTGAATGTTCCTCTTCAGCGGCCTAAAGTGGCCCTACATTCTTTTCCAGAATCCGGGAAACACCTTTCTTTCTTTCAGACCAAGAGAGGGGGGGAAAAAAAAAAAAAAAAAAAAAAAAAAAAAAGGACTTTCCTGGGACTGAGAGCGGGGATTCCCTCTCCACGAACGTGCACTCTCCACCACGCTCACCGGAGCTGAAGGTGAGCCCCGCGAAAGCGCGTGCGGCCGCTGGGAACACTCCCCACACCCGGCGGCCCCCGCCTCCCAGAGAAGGGTCTCGAGCCCGGGAATCCTCTAATTAGGCTCGCCCCCATTGGTTGTCCCCAAGGCACCTCCGTGCCGTCACGGTGTTATGCTAATGAGGGGGAGTCTCATTGGCTCGGCCCCCGGCGGCAGCTGCGACGGCTCTGGCGGGGAGAGCCGGGTTGGCCGCGGCTGGGACCAAACGCACGGTCCCTCTCTCGCCGGCTCCTGCCTGTGCCGCGTGCACGCCCGCGCGGGGACCCGCTGCCGGGATTGCCCTCGGAGGAGGCTCCTCGACCCGCCTTTTAGGAAAGTGCCTCCCCAGCCTGCAGCGCGCACGCCCCCTCCCCTCTTTCTAGGCACCGCGCGCTTTCGTTTTTGTTTTTTGTTTTTTTCCGCGAAGTAACTTTTGCATTCCCGCCTCCCCCGAGTCCTGGGGACCAGAGGCGGTGCCGAGCCTGGGGGCGGTTCCTTGGCAGCGTAGATTCTTGTCAGAGCCAGACTTTTGCTCCTGGGCTCGGTTTGCATCATCCCCATCACACCCTCGGGAGAGAGGATCCAGCCCCCTTTCAGCCTCAGCTTCCGGCTCGGAGCGGACCCCTCCCTCTCCCAGGCCCCTTCCCCTTCCCCGTCCCTCTCCGGACCACGCATCTTGCTAGTCCCCTCCCTCTACTCCGCAGAATTTTCTTTTTCTCTCCCTCCACTCCTCTGTTCGTCGTTTTCTGTTTCCCACTCTTTGAGGAAGGATGGTTGATTTGGAGAGCGAAGTGCCTCCTCTGCCTCCCAGGTACAGGTTTCGGGATTTGCTGCTAGGGGACCAAGGATGGCAAAACGACGACAGGTAAGTGGTGCTGTGCAGTCTTGCTCTGTCAGTACAGCTGAAAAAGGGACAGAGATGGGGAGGCTGAAGAGGGAAGAGGAGACAAGAAAAAGGGAGCCACAGACGGGAGGAGAGAGGGAAAGGGACTCTTTGATATGTCTCTCCATTTTGACTGTATTGAGCAGTTGCTATAGACAAGGGACTCTTTGCCTTTTCACTTTCTTATCCTTGCAATGTATTTATTGCATTTATTTGGTACTTATTCTTTTGTCTATCTGTGCTTTCCTAGGGTGTGTATAAGGCTGCTACGAGAGGTGCAATTCATCCAAATGGCACGCAGTATCAGTGCCATATAATTTTCATTTTTTCCTTTTAGGTGTTGTTCCTCAAATTCAAAAATGTATTCAAGGTAATTGAAAAAGCACATGAGAAACTTAAAATCTCTTGCACCTGTTTACTAACTCCTTGTCAGTGTTGTCTTGTTAAGGTGTTCACCTGCTGCTGGGAATTTTATACTCTTAACATCTGGAGTTGTAGGTAGACAGTTGGTTTAAATATGTAACAGGTAGTTAGGAAAAATGACGTTTTCAATTGAAAATACTCACTTTGAGCAGGTAACTGTGACTATGATTAATAATGGTGTTTGCATAACATGATCCAACCTTTTCATAATGAATGTGTTTTTAACCTAACTAGTATATATGTCACAAGATTAAAACTTAAGTTTCAAAACTACAATATTCATTATCAGCAAAATACTGCTCTTGTGTTCTATCTATAGCATCACTGCTTTGCCTCGTCAAACTTCTGAAATTCCTCCGGCTATCTGATTCATTATTTGAAAGACACATTTTATGTTTCATTGAATTTAGTATTTTCTGGAAGTCATTTCATGTATCACATGCCATATGTTTTTGTGTTTAAATATTCTGTGTATACTAACTGGTCTCTCTCAACTCAATGGAAATATTTCCTTGAAGTTTGGTATTAATATTCTATTTTAATTACATAAAAGATCCATTATTGGTCCTGTTCAAAATCTCCCCGTTCAGCACTGGTTTTTTTCTCACCGTTTCAGCTTTCAATACCAACTTCTGACCATATGCACAGAGGCTTTTATATTAGGCATCAATTTTGGACTTCTTTGGTCTCGTATTAGTAATTTGAAGGGATATGAATGTTTCTCAGAGGGTAATATTTCAATGCAATCTCTTAAAGGTAAAACACATATATATATTTGTTAGAAATTAAAAGAACAAATTCCAGTTTACCAGTATGCTTGGAAAGTAAGGTGTTCTGGTTGACTGAAGATAAGGACATGAATATTAAACAGATTGCAGTGTTAGTTGACTTTTAGATAAACTGTATTGGCCTAGTTTAAATGGCTTATCAAATGCACCATCGTGTTCATAGTGATTGATTCTATGTTTTGTTACTTGAGGACCTTAGGATCATCATGTAGAATAGAAATCCCCATGGTGGAAAGCGTGAGATGGACTTAATTTCATAGAGAATATATTTTGGATTTGGTGGTGAGAGCGTTGTTTGTTTCTTAATATTGTATCCAAGGTAGAATTGTTCATGTGGCTCCCCTCATTTTTCTAAGGATGCTGAAGATATATTTCAGTAATTAATAATTTTGGTTAGTTGAATACTACCCAAGTAAGTCACTGCTATTAAAAAAAGTTTTACACATTTAAAATATCTGTTATGATCAAAGTTTCTGCTAAGTTTAACTTACAATCTGGGCCGTATTTACTATTAAAATGAAGTATTAAACATTAAAAAAATTGTTCATCCATTTGACTAGTTTTGTGGCTTCATGAAAACTTAATAGTTTTGGTTCCATTTGTTGTCCATCTTTGAAGACGAGATCCTTGGATTAATAGTGACTCAGCTTTCAATCCTTTGCTCATTTCTTCACTAGCTGAGTTGTCTTGGGTGAGTCATTCAGCCATTATGAGATTCAATAGTTTCTGTAAGGTACAGAACTAACACTTAGCACTAAGCACTGGCTTGTGTTATATGTTAACTATGCTAATAGTGTGTGTGTGTGTGTGTGTGTGTGTGTGTGTAAGGGTATATGTATGTATGTGTGTATGTATTTTAGAGACTAGGAAACTAAGTGTATGGGCAATTAAATACTTGTCTTGGTAATATATCTTATGAGTGAAAAGATGACACCGGGGCTCTGTTCTTTGCAACATTCCTCAGGAAGGTCCTCAATTCTTTCCATTTAAGTTGTCTGAAATTGTAAGAATAATTTTACAGCATCCAGCACAGTTTAGGTGCTCATTAAATGTTGGTTCCCTTCTTCACTTCCTATTTGCAGTATTCAATTATTTTTTAAATTTTTCTTCAGAATCATTAATTAATATGCAGTAAGTAAGGTCATCTTTTTTTGTCTTTCATATGCTCATAAATTTCTCTTTGCAACTGAATCTGAGTAGCCTTCTTGTTTGACTCTGTTATCATGTGCTCAATTCCTATGGAGCTGAGGAGAAAGCACTCTTTCATGTAAGAATAGGTGGATGATTTATACCAATGGATACATTTAGTGTTTTGTCCATATTCTCTAGGCTATTTTCTATGAATAGTCTCTGCCTGAGGTTTTTTGTTTGCTTTTTCCCCCTGGTCTCAGAAATTCCCCAGGTCTTGGAGAACAAGCCAGAAGTGCCATTGAGTAAATAAGGAATTGTTAGATAATTACCTTAGCTTTCTAACTTCTTGGTTGGATAATTCTAAAGCATATTCTACATTGTGTCCAATGGGACTGAGCTCTAGTTGCCCACAGTGGTAATTGGTTTGATATTACAAGCTTTATTGGCTTTCTTCCCCCTCTCCCCTACTGGGGAGATCAATTCTGGGATCTGTTCCCACATAAACTACTTATGCTCCAATCCTTAGCTCAAGGTATGCGCTGGGGGAATCTGAACCAAGGTGGGTATCTTTTCCATCTAGAGTAACATCCTAGAAATGGTGGAGGAATTAGCTGATGGGAAAGTAGACACTTTCTACCTTGCTCTTCTTGTTAAGAATTTTAAATTAAATCTTAGTAGGGCATGATTGATTGGAATGTGAAAATGAGTAAAGCATACTACTTTACCCCACAGATTTTCTGTAAACTAACCTTGGATACTTCACTTAAATTTAACTCTACCATCTTTTGGTAGGGAAAAACACACATGCTTAAGTGCATATGTAATGTACATGTGACATGTATATGTGTGTGTGTGTTTATATATATATATATACATATATATATGTGAAACATGTATAGACTTTGTGTGTGTGTATCAATGCCATTTTTATATAATTATGTCTCCCTGAATTGCATTCTGGTAACCTTTTCTGAGTAGGACATAAAAGAACCGAGTTAGACATAGCATTGTAGATAACTGCACATTTAGCACATGAATAACGTAAGACTCTGAGGCCATGAAATAAGTTTGAGAGTTGCTAAATATGAACACTGCTAAAGCCTAGAGATAATCTGTTGCAGGTATGCCTCACATTTATTTCTTTGGCATCCTGAGTAAAATAAAAAAGTCTAAATCAGGTGGTCCGTGTGATATTTCTTTAATGATCATTTATCCATTCAGCTAAATTTGACTACATGCTGCATCTCAGGGCCTTATCAAGTTAGGTTTTAGGAAGAATATAAGGAGGAATATGGAACAGTGCTTTGTCAGGTGTTCACAGATATAGAGATAAGCTCCCCTCACCCAAATATTGACAGTATTGTTTATGTTATACTGTTTTTGCAGAATTTCAATTTTAAGACTGTCAAGAAGATCATGTACCCTTTGTATAAGAATAGTCAGTGTTGGTTGGAAATAAAGTCCCTGTATTAGGGATGGCTCAAAGTGTTCAATATCATTCGAATCTGGTACTTAGGATACTTAGTATCTTTAAAGTTACTCTGTGATTAAAATATGACTAGAGACAGAATTTATCTGGTTTTATATGGAAGCCATCCTGTAATATGTAGAATTGTAGTAGTGTTATAATCTATTGTTTTCTGTATTAATGTTTCTATGATTCACAAAACAATAAAGATTTAGAATGTTCTCTTGCAGTTAAGAATTGGTAAATTTCAAGTTTTAAATGCTTTAAGACAGAACAAGTCTTCATCGTGACTTAATGTTAAAATTTGGAACACAATGCACTTGATGTGGATAAATTGTCATCACTGTTGATAAATTACTGTTAATGGACAATTCTTGTTGCAGTCATACAGGAGTAGGGCTTTTATTTAATTAACACCATTCAGTTTTCAAATATCTGGTCGGTTGTTTCAACTCCAGTCATTTTAAGTGTAACTTTCATATTTTATAGGTGGCAGTTAAAAGTGATGTAAGCAAGTCACCTAATGTATTGTAGTAATAATTGAAAATATAAAAGGATTTGACAAAGAGTGCAATCCAGTCAATTAATAGTTTAAGAAGTATTTATAAAATGGTGAAAATGTTTGGATAGCTTTTGGAGTATGTGTAATTTTAAATATCATACAGTGCAAGTATATTACTTTATATAATAAAATTGGAACAATGGATTTGGAATGGCACATTTATATAACCTACCAATTTTATTTCTCATAACAAAATTATATATTATTTTGAAAAGTAGTCGTTTGATATAAAGTACTTATTCTAAACTTGTAAGTTCAGGCCATTAAATACACTTTTAAAATATTTTGTGTTAGTAAAAGGGAATGAAATGTTATTTTTACTATTTATATAGTGGAGTCAACTTTTCATATGCGGTATCTATAAAAATGGTTTAAGTATTATTAAGAGAATCTAGATAATGTTGTATTTCTTAGCACTATTATATTAAGGGAAATCTCCATGAATAAGGCAATAAAAAATTACCTACTACTGAAGTAGGTAGTGGTGAAAAAGACTTTAGATTATATATATATATATATTTATATAGTATAATATATACAATGCAGAGAAATATGCATTTTTAGTAATTTTTGTTTATCAATATTTACCAGGAATTTTTTTTAATATAAA